GTCCCTGAATATGTCTAAAGCTATCTGCATCCTTGGCCCTCCAGCGATGAGACCAGGTTATGGTCAGTGGAATGTGATGCCTGTTTAACAGTAAAGGTCATCTTCACTTTTGTTTCAACACTGTCTGCCCCTTGCCATGCCTGCATGTGGCATGTAAAAACATGGCATGGTCCACAGTTGCTGACAGTGTCAATATCAGATAAACCCATCCATTGATAACCTGTGTAACACTGTATGTATTTGAACAAAGTCTTGAAACTGTCCAAATTACAGGTGTGGTTGTGTTTTGATATTGTGTATGTAAGTTATCTGAATAGTGACATTTTGATTTATATCAGTGTTATAATATGTGGGGGTTCCGGGTTAGAATATAGATCCCAAACAACCAACGTTTGTCTCAAGGGGATCTGGTGGTCAGGCTCAGTGACTTGGTTGAATACATGCCCTTGTATCTCAATTAAGTGGATCAATGATCATAGTGTCGATCACTGGATTGTCTGGTCCAGATTCGATTATTTACAGATGGTCGTCATATAGCAGGAATATTACTAGATGTGTCATTGAAAAACATCCACACCAACCTGAAATAGCTATAAAAATATAACTTTCGGCACATATCTGCAAGAACACACATCATCAATTGTATAAATTATATACGTTTCTTTATAGATAAACGTGTTTATCATATAATGGGTAGGTTACTCGGCAGGATAAAGCCAATGCGGATAGAGATGCAACTATCAAAGGTCAAGTAGGGACTACTTTCACTGTTTATAAACAAACATGGCGTCGTGAATGCAAACATATGTAAGTTATACTGGACCTAATTCAATACAATTTACAAATAAAACTGTCATTTGTAGGTATAACATGTTTTCACATATATTTAGCCATAACTTAAATATGTAATTCCACCTTACTTATATTTTAAGTTCAAAAGAATTTACAAAATCTATACTGGCTAGCGACCAGTTATCGCTGAGGACCAATTATGTCCAGCTTCGATTTTTGGGCGCATGAATCTCATTTCACATTTCCTCGTTTACGTTTACATTAGAAGGGAGAAATATATTTTCGAAAATGATGAACAAAACGGATCTTGTGAGAAATTTTAACCCCCCCCCCACCAAAAAAACAACACCCCACCATATTCACCTTGTTCAAATACAACTCGTGACTAATTCATGCCAAAATATAAATCAAACAACACCATGATGCACTTTCAGCTCTGTCATTGCTTTCTATCTGTCTGTCATTTCTTCCCCAAAATACAATTCTGAAACCTTATCTGAGCTATATTTCCAAACATGCATAACCTCTATATATAGTGTATATAGTGTATATAGTGTTAAGGATATGAATGTGTGTAGATCAAATTTGGGGAATATTGGTCTTTGTCAGTTTGCAGATGTCACATTGATAATAGCATCTCTTATTCATGTTGATGAAACAAAGAAAAGTTAAATGCAATACCAGAGATTTGTTTTACTGAAGCTCTGCGCGTGATCACGTGACACATGCTGTTAAGACAATGGCGATAACTGGTATGTGAGTCGACTATTTCAACTGTTTGATTCACTATCGTAGCATTATAATGAATCTTATTTCACGGACAGAAATAAGCACATTTTTTCATAGTTTCACAAAAATTAGAGTTATTGGTACAGCCAACTTTGTACACTGAATATGTCAGAAATAACATGAAAAAAATGTCGAGAACAGGTTGGTGACCAGTATCAGATTTTGTCATTTAAAGCATAATGAAACAGGCTTGTGCTGGAGTATGGTAGAAGATGTGGATTAGAGAGTTTGAAACGTTTTTACGAAATTGAGTTCCAGAATTATGGGGAGAGCATTGGGACATGCTAGAGTATTTGTTTCGACTTTCCCCTCACTGGTTGTGTTGTGTCCAGACAACATGGTTGTATATTGCAAAGTTTCTGCTGTCCATTGTATGTACCAGTGTGTCATGTCAGTTTCAACCATGAACTGCAAATGGGGCACCAAGTTGGTATGTAAGATTTAGGCTGTATATTGCACATAGTTGAAAGCCTGACAAAGTAATAATGTATCTACAATATCCAGCTAAACTTTGTTGTCAACGATTCAGTTACCTTCACAACTACTGAGTCACCGTCAACGTCTCACAAATGAATCAACTCTAATGATTGAAATAGCAATGTAGGTTGAATAACGTTTAATCTAAACACAACAGATGACGTGACTTTATTGTATCGGGAGATCGTAGGTCGTGGTTCGATCCCCTAGCTGTGTCACACTGACACCAAGAGACATGGTACTTGTTGTTACCCTGTCTGCTGCTCGGCATTACTGGGACTCAGTGGACAGCTCAGAGTCAGCATACTGTGTCCGAGGACCCGTGAACCTCCGGGTTAGAATAGGTCTTCAGCAAATCCATGCTTGTGGTAAGAGGTAAGAGGCGAGCATACTAATTCGGTAAAATGTTACATCCACAGAACTGAGAATCAAAGATACAGTGTTCCCTTGCTATCGCTATTGCGCCCCTCTCGGTTACAGTGCACGGTAATGCATGGCTCCATTATTTATTTACATATTTTATTTGATCAACTCAAGTTTTTCACTGACACAATGTTTTTCCCTCCATCTAAAAAAACATTATCAAACATTATAACATGATCACCGCAAGCATGCACGTAACACCGGAAATACCAATGTATCCTAAGAAATCTGCCGGCGAAATTGTGTGTAATGGAACGGCAACTACGGTCACATTATTGCTATTGACGCCATGATACCAACTTTATACATATATCATAAATGCCATACTTTGACTTGTTAAAAGTAATATTTGTTGTGGTTTGACCTGTGTGTCAACAAAGTTTTTGTGATCGAGAGAGTGTGAGCTTCGAGGGTGACTGGTGTATTCAAATGAAATATTTCATCAAAGCTAGGTCTGCATGAGATCTACCTTGCATTACAAATTCCAAGAAATGTAGTCAACTGTCCGTCATTCCATTCCCCAAAAGTATGTGCCATATATGGAAGTGTTACTACGATTGATCAATGAAACAAGCCCTAGTTTACATTGTTGACCTGCCTGACATCAAAATGTCTGAATCCGATTGGTTGACAAAGTAGCTGTATGCAAAGTAGATTGCCACTTCCGGTTTGTCTGAGGTCCACTTCCGGTGTGTCTGCAATCCACTTCCGGTTTGCCTGATGCCCACTTCCGGTTTGCCTGCAATCCACTTCCGGTTTGCTTGCAATACATTGTGCTACATTGTGCAACATTGTGTAACATTATCCAGAGCAAAACGGCCAATCAGCCTCCCTACATACCCCACACGAGTTTTAGTCACTTCTTCCATTTATACAAGTTAAATACTGCACAACAGTTTCAATGTGACATTTAAAGAGCAATGTGACATTTTAAGAGAAGTCTGTCTTTAGTCAATTATGCACTATACTAATACAACTTAGAGCGCTGCCTATGCATTTACAATGCATCGCTTCTCTTACTTAAAGCAAAGCACAGCACAGATGAACACAATATTACTAATGTGTCAGGAGTTACATAGTTATTCATACAAAATGTTTGATTCAATATGGCCAATCAAACGCAATTATTATTTTATAGTTCAAAAAGTGCGCTGAGAAATGGTAAGATCTATATAAATATCACGTATAATATTTCACAAATATTTTTCATACCCAACGAATAGTGTTGCTCTTTCTGTTTTCGAATGAACCAATAGTTTCTGTCTTTGTGGTTAAGGCATCTTTTGCGCATTTAGAAAACTGCAAATGTCATGCAACGTGCAGCGTACGTATGCCATTCAATTCTAGGCCCCAGGAGAAAACCTGCACTGGTGGTTAACAGGGTTGCTGCCTGCTTATAACCTGCAAACAAATTAGCCCATGGCCAGACAAACGATCTTGTACACACATAAGCTAGAATGTGTTATTTTACAGCGCCAATGTGTCCGCCAGTAATCTTATCAATCTCGCGCTATATCCGAAGATTTTATTAATAGAAAGGGTGTTTTCCAGACGATTCACACCCATCTGAAAATCCCATTTGGGCTACTTTGGGGCCCTTTCGGAATTTCTCATCCCTCCAGGTTCGGTCCGCAGTATCTTGCCACAGCTCACTTTGGCTCAGGGGCACCCTGATTGGGTGCAAACCCCCTTTTTCGGAGGAACTCTTTTTTTAAAGAACTTCTTACTAATTGCATGAACCCCGAACTCAACTCTCACCCTTCAACCCGTGCCAATCCAATCGCTCACTTTTCATCGCCCGACTAATCGCTTTCCTCCCTTTTCGTTCTTTTGGCTCGATTATTCAGGCCCCGCTTTTACCCCGCTTCTGCCCCGCTTTTACGCCCAAAGTTACGGCTTCGCTTTCGAACACAATGTCGTAACGAATATTCTCAATTAACTTGTCTTGTCATTTTCTTCACATTTTGCTTATTAAAAAATATAATAAAACATTTAAGATATATTGAGTCTACTTCTAGTCATTTTACTTCTTGCACGTGCGTGCCATATTTATTTCTTGCTTTTCTTGCCATTTGGTGTTCTTGCCCTTCAATGCAGATTTAACTCTCTTTCCAATTGTCACACCATTTATTTTACACACCATCTGTTGATTAATTTACCTTCACATCTTCTGTTGTCTCTAAAACAAATTATTGCATTATGATACTCTATTTTTCACTGGAACCAATATAGAAGTGACTGAGCTAAAATTTATCGTCAAAATTATTTCAGCCATAAAGCAACTCCAATGTAGGAAATATCTTATATTCATCATACATGTAGTTCCATTTTTTCGACTTCTTTCCACTTTTCACACAAATCCAACACGTGACTATACCGGTTACATCGAGAGCATCTGGGCATTGCACCGACCGCCAAAAAACGCAGTTTAGACAGCCGGCACCAAGCCACCCGGAAGGAAGCGGCAAAGCACCAATCACAAGCGAGATAACTAATGCCAAAGGGACCATGCCAAAGGCCGTCACTTCCTCCGTCGGCTGGACATGGCCGGGCAGTATCTGATTGTCGCTGGCTGGCATCACCACACCCAAACGTGCACGCTCGGTCTTGTCGCATCTGCATCGACGGAGGGGATGATTATGCACATGCAACTGAAGGTAAGTTCATTCATATATTTCACTCCACGTCTTTTATTTCTCGCACAGAGCGGCCATTCTGTCAAACGGGACGAAGCATGTTCCAAACCTTGTCCTCCCTTGGCCATTTGCAACTTCTTCTTTCATCACAGAAAATGTCACCTGTTTTGGCCGCTCTCTGGTGCACGTTGCCAGTGTTTTCTTCGCGAAGAAGCGGGCAGGGTGCTTCCTGGATTCTTGGATGGATGATAAATGCGTACCTCCACACACTGACCACGCAACTACCGTATTTCATCCGATAAACTGCACTATTTAATCATTAATCAACATGCACCATGTGTTAACAAACCTAAGTATTCAACTACCGTATTTCCCACAAAAACACGTCCCTTTATTATGAGTATGCAATCATTATGCTCCATTCATTGATCAAGTTATTTGTCTTTATTCCATTGCTGCTGTACAGGCCTGTTGAACCGATGGTATCCATGGTATCAGAGCATTAAGATTTGTGGAGTAATTAGGGTTTATCTTGTTTTGCTTGTGCTCATTGTGTTGGACATTGTTGCAGACCCTCACCAAGATGGCTCTGTGGCCGCCAACACAATCTCCTGACACAACTTACCACAGCCCCTGATATTTTCTTCTTTATGGAAGATTGTGAAAGGTAGGTGATTTTATACCTTGGTCTCATTGTACTCAATAATATTTGCCATTTGTTTCCCCTGCAGGACGAAAATAGTAATAGTGTTCAAACTGTGATATTTGTCATGTTATAATGTTCATACTTTCTGAGGTATTGGGAAATTTTAGATTCAGACTTTGCTGCAGACTTGGGGCTGAATATGGGCCTCTGAGCAAGTCTAGATAATACCCAAATAGATGTACATGACAGGTCCTCTTTCAGATCAAACACCACACCCCCTTACGATCATTTGGGTTAGGAACCTGTTTCTTCGATCAAGCACCCCTTTACGATCATTAGGGTTAGGTACCCCTTTACGATCATTAGGGTTAGGTACCCCTTTTCGATCATTAGGGTTAGGTACCCCTTTCCGATCAAGCACCCCTTTATGATCATTAGGGTTAGGTATGTGGTAGGGCATGGGTTAGCTGTCTCTGTTTTTTTATCCAAAAGTCAATTATGGAAAATCCATATCATTTCTTTCAAGTTTCAAACGTCTCGATGTCTCTGACAACAAATGTAGCTTGTGGTTGGTTACAATAAGCGCCCCCTACCTTTGTCAATTTGCCAAGCTCCCCGGGTGCTTACTTCGGCTGACATTTAGGTCCATCTTTATGTTTTTTGTTTCAATTGTCTCGCAACCATGGCAACATATGATACAAAGTATTCCAGGGAATCCCTTCATTTTCAGGAGGAATCTAGAGTTGTCATAGGTTAGCAGGCTCGATCGGTACAGTTAATCAGTGACATCTCGCCAGGAAATAAAGTGGGGCAAGATTTAAAACCAGATTTTTCTTCATGGGTAGAGTAAGTCCTCTGTTGATAGATTGGAAAAGAGCTGTTGGAATTGGTCAGAATGATTTAAGAGTCTTAGGTTGGTCTTCTAGCCAGCACTGAAATGACTTGTCTTTATTGGCTGGTTACTTTCACAATGTTCAGGTGCCTCCCAAAGTAAAATTGTCTCCAGCTTAATCAGATGCAATGCAATACCAGACACTTTTTTCACCTCTATGAAATTGGGGTAATTGTTATTTTCTAATCAATGAGAAAGAAATTTTCAAACAATTGTGGGACTTTAATTAAGTCAGAATATACATTCAACAATAGACCATAGATGGTATAAAGGCAACTTTGCAATTTGTCCTTAATGAGTACAATTATTAATAGATTTTTGTACAAAGACATTTCTTCCTAGAAAGATTTGTGTTGCCATGACTTGAGTTCAATTTACATGTTTACAAATGGATCTGAATTATGATAATATGTTTTTTGCTATTTTTATAATTTATATGTTTATATGCTCAAAAAGATACTGAAATATGGGATTAGGGATGGGACTCAGAGTACCTGTGGTTGTAGCTGTTCAAGAATCCATCTAAGAATGAGGATGAATGTAAATGTGTTTCATGTATATGAATAATATATGTCAAATGATTTTATTACAGTTGTCACAATAATAAAAGCAACAAGACCTTTTCCATATTCATAAGAAATCTCTGACAAAAGCAGAGTCGATTGTATGATTCTGATTATATCATGAGCATGTGTTTATGAATCACTACCGGTATATAATAGTGATGATACCAGGTCTTCACAAAAATGTGAGCATATCTGGCCCCACTTGTGGTTCCCATCACAAACACATGCAAAGACAAATCAATTGTTCACCTGAAACATCACGGGTACAGATCAAAATAGGGAATAGCATAGGACATCATTTTGTCACTGATGCGTGAAATTTGGAATGTCCTCCACATATCTACCATGAGACATTTGAAAGCTTTCCTGAGGCCTTGAACGTTATTACCTTGATCAAATAACTCAGCATAATTGAGTTGCATGATGCTCTTTGAAATCTTGGTAGAAAGAGGATGTTCGATTGTACCTCAAAATTGTAAAATGTAAACACCAAAGGCTGTAGCTACAAGAATATTGCTCCAAATATAGGGAAAGTTGAAGTCATCTGTCTTACAGTCTTGTGGAGAGTGTTTTGTCACTCTGAATCTTTATGCATAGATCTAAATTTGAAACAGATGAGTCAGTCTCACTGGTCTCTCGTTTCTGGTTCAGGTGGGTAAATCAGTAGATGAGAATTGGCTATTTGATGGTTATTGAACCATATATAGGATCATGGATATACGAGAAGCTTAAGTTTAACTTCTTGGCCAAATCACCTTGTTTTGACTTTGCCAATCCGAGCAGAATTTCCCATACACATGCATAAAGAAACAGATCAGCAAGAAGGGAAGCACAATTGGTGCCCACGGGGATGCCTACTTCTTGCCTAAATGTATAGGGTGAATGAGATAATCTTACCTATAACAATATTTCTAATGTCTTTTTAGACCTAATCTAAGTAAGCAATACATAACTTATGATTAAAAGAAATTAACAGTTTGCTGTTGTCCCATATTATCTCATTACATGAACTAGGCATATCCTGCTGACAACTATCTCTGTAAAGCAAAACTAGACATTACTTCTGTCTGTCTGGTGGCATCTTGACATACTGCCACCTCATGTCATGCTGACACATGGGGCTCATCTATTCAAAGTGCATGTATTTAATTCTGGCTGTACATTATATTGAAATCCTGCCAAAACCTGTTTTGAATGGCTTCAACAGATAGCGTGATGACTTTTAAATGTAACATGTCATGTTTGGATGGTTCAATGGTTACAGAAATTGGGAGATAATATACTACAATTATTTCTTTTCATTCAGTGTCGGTTCCTGTGTGAATAAATATTCTAAAATATGAGTATAAGAAGTTATGTAATATTCAAATAGAAGTTATCATGTTGACTTTTTCTGACTGGTCCTCACAAGTTTGTCTATCCATGGATTCCTCACTAAACAGACTAGCTATCAACACAGACTTTGGTACCCCGATGCATGCAATAGGGTCTTTCTTTAAAAGCTATACCCGTTGGTATGACTTTACAACACAACCCCCTATTCAAACACTACACCAACATCAACAGCCAGATAGACCCCAAGTGCTCCCCAGCAACCAATGCTGGTTGTAAGGGGTGATTTAATGGATCAGGTGGTCAGACTCGCTGGCTTGGTGGACTTGGTCATTCATTGTATTGCATGCATGGTCATTACTCACAATATCAATTGTCTGGTCCAGATTGGATCATTTACAGGTCGCTGTTGTATGGTGGAAATATTGCTGAGTCCGGCATTAAACAACAAACAAGCAGCCTTGCAGCAATGTTAAATCCTTGCAGCACTGTCAAATCCTTGTATCCTTCTATGGCTAAAAGGATGACACAATATCTGACATCAACAGCTAACCCAACTATGTAAGAAAGTCTACAAGTGTTTGCCAGTCTTACTAGGTTTGGTACCCCCTCATGTAGTCATTTGGGTACCTCTGTGAACTCTTGCAGCTCAGTGAAGGTCCGGGTTAGAATAAGTCTGGAGCAACATATGCTTTTCATAAAAGCTTCTAATGGGATTGGGTGGTCAGGCTCACTGACTTGTTTGAAACATGTCATTGTATTCCAGTTATGTAGATCGATGCTCATGATGTCAATCACTGGATTGTCTGGTCCAGATGTGAATATTTACAGACTGCTGTCATATATTTGAAATATTGCTAAGTATTAAAAAACAAATAAAAAAGTATGCTACTACAACTCATCTGTATTGTTCTAGGATGGGTGTAAGTCTTAGACAAACTTAGAACAAGAATGTGCTGTCACAGTTGTGATTAGAGTGGCACTGGTTTATTAATGAGTTTTAGGACATTAAGTTCATAGTCTCAAGGCGCTGGTTGGCCTTATTCAACTGATGTCCAAGCAAGATAGAATTGATTCACATGTCTGAACAGTCCAGGGAACCGAGGTCATCATTTTATCAAGCACGAATCTATACATCTTTAACTAGAATGTTACAAATGTTCTTGAACTTTTTGAATCAATACTACAAGTTAATGTATTGATAACTAAGGAAATTGAAATTTCTCCCACAAGAGGATATCAGATGCCTGCCCATGAAGCAGGGCAACCTAGCAAACATGATTTCAGGAAAGAGTGCTGAACTACAGGGATTCTCTTACTTCCCTGTATTCTTACATTACAGTCATGGGTGTTCAGGGTGATGGGCCAGCCGTGTGGTTAAAACATTGGCTTGTCATGCTAAAGGCCTGGGTTTGATTCCTCCCCTGGATGCAATGTGTGACGCTCATTTCTGGTGTCTCCCACTCTGATATGGCTGGAATATTGCTAACAGTAGCGTCAGAAACATACAATCTCTCTGTCTTACTCTTTCTAATGGGCATATTGTCAGTTTGGTGAGTTAGCTTGGTTGAACACTACTTTGAACAGTATTTCAGATAAATTACAGCATACAAGCTTAGTGGGTGAGGAAAACCCAATTGGAACAATTCGTAGACATTTATCTAAAAGCGTAAATACCACGGGTTATGATGAGGATGCAACACAGCAAGACAAAGGGAGATAACCCATATAAAAGCGTGTAAGCATCACTTCATGATATGAAGAAAAGGTAGTTTTACAATGGAAATAATATCCTTTGAATAGTAAATGTGCTGCCAACTATGGTCTTAATGATGACTGCTAGGGATTCATTCTCAGAAGCCAATATTGGGCCCCATGTCTATAGCAGGGATTGCATTTCACTGAGGAGAAGACTAATAAAGAGAAAAAGAATTTATTGCTGCTTCATTCTAATTTAAGCATGGCTGCCATTATTTCTTCATAATTCAGGTGAGCTACAGAGCCTTGTGTCTTTGTATTTGTTTGGCTGAGTTTTCCTCTCATGGGCACCTTTTAAGATTAAAGTCCTCAATATCCTACACATATGTAGCAGTAGAATCACTTTCAGTAGAAACAGATTCAGATCCCCAAGGACACTGCAATATAATATTACAATTCATTTGTTTTGCTGGTAAAATAGTATTTATTGAAAATATTTAGTATTATTTATTATACACAATTGACTCTGGATA